GAAGCCCACCCGCGGGCTCGCAGCGTGGGGACCCCCTTAGTGGCGCTCCGCGACGGCTCCCGCTGCCAGCATCCCGCGGTCCCGGCGCCCCTCGGCCCCGCGTGGCGGATGGTCTCGCTCCAGGGCGTGGGAGCACCCCGAGCACCCCGCCTGCCGTCCCTAGCGCCGCGCGACGGAACTTGCCGGAGAGCACCCAAGATGGCCGCCTGGGGACGCTCACCCCCGGTGGGCGCGGGCGGCTGCGGGTGCCTGCGTGGCCCGGACCCCGCGCCCCTCAGCTTCCTGGCTTTGGGCCTCTCGCCTGCAGAAGGCGAGGCCTGGAGATCAGATCGGAGTGGCCTCCGCCCGGGAGCTCGCAGTCTAGCCGCAGATGTGCTAGTGGTCTCGTGCACACCTGCGTTTCTGGCGTTTCTCCTGATCCCCACGTGGCCTAGGGCTCTAACTTTCCTAGGGTGGCAGTAACTGCAGTACCTTCTGGATGTGCCAGATGGTATAGGTTCCTTTACTTTTACATTCGTCTAGCCCTGTGAAGTACATGCCATTGTCTCCGTAACCCAGATGGAAAGTGGGGGGACAGGGCTGAGAGACCTACCCAAGGTCACACGGCGGGCCATCCCCAGACTAAGGCCGTCAGAGTAACAGCATAAATCCCACTGCCTCAAAGATGCTTTCTGGTGGCATGCTGTCTAAATCCCCTAACACACACACACATCTTAGCTCCGTTACACCTGTGGGGTTTTTTTCCCCCTCTCTAATAGCATTTGTCCTTAGTCGAAATAAACAACATTCATTTGTTTTATTCACTTCTTGTGAGTAGGGCCTAGGTGTGTCTTGCTTAACCTACTCCCCAGCCCTAGCGAGCAATTGCTTCCACCAAGTAAGTCTCCAAGGAAGATTTGTTGAGGGCCTTTATGAATAAGCCGGCTCTGCTTGACTTCAGAGTTTGGCCACTTAACCAGTCCTTAGCTGCCTTCTGATCTTCCAAGGCGTTCTGTGTACTTTTTCATTGTTCTAATCGCTCTTCTGCTTGCTTTCTAGATTTTGACCTGAATCCCTCTCAATTTTCTTTCTCTTCTCTACCCTGTTTTATTGAGCTCTTTCATGTTGCAAGCATTGTAATGCTGTAGGTGCTGGAGGGGAGCAGGGGTAAGTTTAGAGGGCTCTACAGCTCTTAAAGTGCTGGTCAAGGAGTTAAGTATCACAGAAAACTGTTCAGGAAAATGAATGAAGTCCCTCTCAAGAAGTTCTGGGACCTCAAACAGTTCAAGGACTACAAGTGCCTCTGTTCCAAGACAGGTAGTATTGGAAGAGCAGAATCTCTCAGTCTCCATTCAGCTCAACATAAAATTCCTTTGTAGCAAGAGAGAGTCTATATCTTGTACACTTTAGGCCCACGTGGTTGTTCAGGAAAGGGATACAGTGTGTGGTTGCAACTGCCAGAGAGAAACCTGCAAAGTACTGGGTGGCTACGTTTCATGATTTGTAAAATGGTGAGAGTACTTTCAGTTTTCTGTAAGTTTTATAAAATCCCATGGGAATGAAAATAGAAAGGTACCAACTGGGAAACAAGCTCCCTTTCCCCATTCTTGCTTCCTGCAGAGAAAACTGAGAGGACAAGCAAGGTAACAGTGACCCTTTAAGGCAGGTCCACTGTCCAATTTCATTGTTCTTCGGTACCTTAGAATAAAAATAAGACATCTGCCTGCATCCTACTCTGCAGCAGTGATGAGCTGCATTTACTCGTAATTTAATCGTGGATGGGCGAGTTCAACCCACATGGTATAAGGTTAGAAATCGGTAGCAAGTTTTCTTAAGGAGTAAAACATTTTAAAGATTATATTACACATATATATTAAGTCTGTCATTCATATTTCTACAAATTCCTCTATGCTTAATTATACAAAATCAAAGTTACATATTTAGTTAACTACTGTTAACTTGTAAAATAATCTTATGGACATGGGTATATATAATCTAGGAGTTAAATCTTCTAAGTGGGTGGTAAAGCATTTTACTGAATGTGTCCCGGTTTTTATGGTTTGCTAGTGTTTTATCATTTTTTATGGTCTGATGCTACCATCTCAAGAATTGTGGTTTCAGTTGATCGACCAAGAACCTCACCTTTCCTAAGATATTACCTACGCAACCCAAACCCAAAGCTGACCTTAAGGACTAGAATGATTGTGTTGCCACAAAGGTGTTTAAAGCCAGTGAAAGGGGAGAATCATCATGAATGTTGGGGAGCCCATCAGAGTGGAAATCATTATCTCTATGGGAAGAGTATATAGAATGCAGACCTGTTGCTAAGTAGAAATGGTCTCTGTGTGTGTGTGTGTGTGTGTGTGTGTGTGTGTGTGTATTTGGTACAGAGTGTCACTACACAGATCAGACTTGTGGTGATCCTCCTGTTTCCAGCCTTCCCAGCACTGGGATTACAGGTGTGCCACCACGCCCAGACTCTGTTGCCAGCTCAGTGCATCCCGGGGGCAGGACTGGCACAGAATGCATAGAAATCATCTTTGAAAGAATCCAGTTCTTAGCACACAGTTCACCTGTTTGATCTATAATTTAATGTTCCATATGGCCACACCCCTAAGGAAAGAATGCTTGTTACAGGTGGCTAAAAGCCAAAGAAAAATTAGTAAATACTTTGGGGGCTCTTTGAGTTAGTGTGGCTGTCCATTGTGGACATTGCCTCTAAAAGACCAAAACTGTGATTAAAAAGTCACGGAACTGCCACTTCTAGGTAGTGTCATTGAGCTTGGAACTTAATTTCTCTAAGTAACTATAAAATAGGGTGAATATCTTGAAAGGCTGTAACGAGGATTTAGCAACCTGTGATCTGTGGAAATCCAGTATCTGGAATTTAAGGGACACTCAGTCACGTCCACAGGACAGTGGCCAGTAGTGACTCGAGTGGGCTGGTTCATGCCTGCCTGGCCCCAACTGCACATGCTGAGTAAGGCCACCTTGTCGTAGTTCCTTTGTAACACAGCAGTTTTAACCAATGGTAAATTAGTCATGCTTAATCTAGCTAGGATTAAAGGCCTCTGTTACTAATTCTCCGAGAAACCACATTTCCTGCTGATTTGTTCTCTGTGAATTTTCAGAAAATTCTTTCTCCCAGTAGGCCAATGTTTTCTTTGTATGTAGCCAAAAGTTTGAAATTCAAGAAAAATATATTTTTCTTAGACTTCTCGGATCATGTTCTTTGGGAAGCTGGGGCAGCCAAACTCCATCTTTCCCATTACTGCAACCACCTGTGTGGTGGCTACATTTATGGGCAAAAGCACAGCTAATGAGGACAGAAACGTCCACTTTCTGATGACTGCTTCTTCAGAATTATCCATCTGTAATTGTATCTAGGAAGGAAACCCAAGTCCTGTACTGTACATTTAATAAAGACTTCCTGTATACTTCAGCTTGGTAGACAGTACCAACTCTGTGATCCAGTCCTCATCTCCATTTTGTTGATGAGAAAATTGAGGCTCGAGATTATAACTTCCCCAGTAATATGCCCACAAAGGGATTGACAGAACCAAGACTCAACTCTAGGTAGTGTTCATCTAAATCCATTACCCATTCCAGAGGCTGTCAGAGTAAATTGTCAGAATAGGTTGCCCACGGGATAGGAACCAGCCAGGGAAAACAGGCCCAGATGGAATTGTCCTAGGATCACTAAAGGATTTATGCTGCCACAGAATGTTCCTTTAACTGGCAGGGGACTTGATTTTCGTTTTCTTTTGTATTTTTCTATTCTTTCAATATAACATCTACGAAACTTACCTGGTGTGATCATTGATCATACATTTTCCAGATCATTTTCATTAATACATGTTTGTAGTAGGTAATATTTCCAATCCTTGTCAGAAGTTGGTATGTGTATGTAACATGTTTTGCTTGCCAGGCAGGCCCTTAAGCCACTGAGCTATCTCCCTGCCCCCCTTATAATACTACTTAATTCCTTTTTTGTGTCATTTTTCTTTGCTCCCTCCCCCCCATCCAGCTCTTGATCCCCTTCCTTTTTATGGGGGTTGGGGATGCTTGCCCTAACAATATTTATATTCCTTGTGTAGAGTTGGTATATTTACTTAACACATCTAGTGTTGTTTTTTCAATCCTCTTTCCCTCCCTTCCTTCCCCCTCCCTCCATTTCCTGATAACCTTCCCCTTTGAGAAAGAGATATCTCCCTCCTTCCTATTATTCAGCTTCTATCTTGGGTTTCTCATGTAAGAGAAACCTTGTGAAACTTAAGTGTGTGTGACTGGTTTATTTCCCTTAATATCATGATCTCAGAGTACCTCCACTTTCCTAAACATGACTTAAGTTTATCTTTCTTTGTAGCAGAGTACTGTTCCATTCTATATAAATACCACAGTTCTTTCATCCATTGATGGACATAGAGGCTTCTTCTATTGGAATTGTACTGCCATATATCCTTTTATACATATATCCCTGTAATGGGATGTCCTCAACTGTTTCAAAAACTACTGTACCTAAAGAGGGAAAGCCTGGATCAAACTGAATTTTTAGCTTTACATTTTTGAGGAATCGCCATACTGACTTCCATGGTGGTTGTCCTAGTTTACATACTCACCAGCAAGGTCCAGTTCCTTTACCCTGCAGCCACCCCAGCATTTGTTATTATTTGATTTCTCAGTGATAGCAATCCTTCTTAAGACAAGATGGAATTCCAGTGTTGTTCTAATTTGCGTTTCTCTAATGGCCAGTGATGTTGAGCATTTCTTCTTGTATTTCTTGGCCTCTGGTACTTCTGTAAGAATCTATTCACTTCACATGCCCATTTTTTCATAGGGTCTTTTACTTGGGGGGAGATCTAATTCTTTTGAGTTCTTTATATATGTTAGATATTAGTCCTCTGTCTGAAGAATAGCTGTCAATTTTTTTTTTTTTTTTTCTTGTTCTGTAGAGATTGTCTTTTCACTCTGTTGATTGCTTGCTGTGCGGAAGCTTGTAATGTGGTGTGGCCACGTCTGTTCACTCCCAGTGCTGTCCTGTGTGACTGTTCAGAAAGTTCTTGCCTATGAGCATGACTTAAGAAATTTGCCTCTTTTATCTTTCAGCAGTTTGATTTTTCTGTTCTAACATTTATTTCTTTGATCCATTTTGATTTTAGTTCAGTACACATGGAAGGATATGGGACTAGATTCAATCTTTTGCTTAAGGATATCCAGCTTTCTCAACACCATTTATTATAAAAACAATTTTTTCTTCCAGTGTATATTCTTTTACTCCTTTGTTAAAGATAAGGTAAGTGAGTTGTATCCACATCCTCTGTTCTGCTTTATGGATCCTCACGTCTGTTTTTGTGCTCCTGCTGTGCTGTTTTTATTGCAGCAGCTTCGTAATAGAACTTCATTATATTGAAGAGTGTGTTGCCTCCTGCTTTCCTCCTGATTGCCTAGAATTGCTTCTGCAATTCTGAGTCTTTTCTAGTTCTGCAAAAATTTAGGATTATTTATCCAGTTCTATAAAGAAAGTTGGAATTTTACTAGTATAGCATTGAATCTGCATATCAATTTTGAAAGTGTGGCCATTGGTTCTGGCTACTTGGTAACAGGAGGTCTTTCCATTTTCTGATGTCATCCTGGATTTCCTTTTTCAGAGTACTGTAGTTTTCTTTTCTTTTCTTTTTTCTTTTTTTTTTTTTTTTTTTTTTTTGTATTTTAGGGAAGGGTCTACAGGGTGTTTAGGGTCTCACTACTAGATCAGACTCGTAGTGATCCGCCTGTTTACAGCCTCCCAAGTGCTGGGATTACAGGCACACACCACCACGCCCAGTCTCAATTGCTGTCTCAGTGCACCCCAGGGGTGGGGCTGGCATGGCAGGCCCAGGGATTGAACCCTGAGCCCCTGCGCCTGCTCGCAGGTGCTTTAATCCACTGAGCTATTTGGCTGGCCATTGTAGTTTTCATTGTAGGTTTTCACCTCCTTTGGTAGCTTAATTACTAAGTATTTAATTTTTCTTGATGTTATTGTGAATAGTATTCTTTTCCTTAATTTCTTTCTCAGTGGCTTCATTATTAGTGTACAGGAACACTACTGATGTTTGTATGTGGATTTTGTATCTTATTACATTATTAATCATGATAAGTCAACTTCATTGGATTAGGAAATGCCTAGC